ATCGAGTTATGGAAAAATAATGAACCATGACTCAAATCAAAAAATCATAAAATGTGGTTACTAGTGACTAGCTTGGTAAAGAAATTACAGAAATCCTGATGAAAAGCCACAGCCAGCAGACTTCAATCCTTCCAGCTGTAGGCAGTAACTGCCGAAGATATTGGGTGAAGTTGAGCAATAACTCTCATTGATTAAAGTTTGACATATAACACCAATGGATACCGGATCTCGAGGTCAAACATTGGTGCACGAAACGAAAGGTCCTGTGTTCAATTCACGCGAGAGGAAGTTATGAGTGCGCACTTCTGATTAGTCCTATATTAGAATGAAACGGCCATCTAGTGCTTTCAAGTTTTTCGCATTGGTCTAACAAAGATCGATTCATTATTACAAAGATAAACAACAACCTCAATATCTCGATCATGAAAAAGATATTTTATTGAAGAACGTTCACTTTTATAATTCAGTTCTGAACCTAATTCATAAGGAAAATCGATAAATCCTTATTTGTTCTTGTCATCTGCTCATACGATTAATTGGTTACAGATACCGGTCTATGTTTTGGCCTTCTTAAAATTATGCAAATATTTTTAGGCTACTTATATTAGTAGTAAGAGTTTTATCGTGAAAAAAATATTTAGATTAGAAAAAATTCTGGTATACTTTACTTAAAAATCAATTTATTTATTTCACAATTTTGATTTGATCATACAGATTGATGATGAAATCCGGTATTAAATTGTTTGTTATAATTCTCTGACAGTACTTCGTTCAGTTAGAAAGAAGAATGAAACAATATCAATTAAATTGTTAAATTTCTCTGTGAATTCATCTGTTAACTTCTTTGAAAAAGGAAACTAGAAAAAAAAGCCGATAGAGAACAGAAGAGAACAGGTAAAGGAATAAAAAAAATATAAATCTTGGTTTATTTTTGACCATCTAAAATCAGTTAGTGTTATGTTTAGTAGAATCCAACGCCAACATATAGGTTTTGCTAACTTTTGGATAGATCAGGTTGAGTCGTCAGCCATACTTGTCTTGTGTGTTGACCGTATCTATTAGTAGAAGGAGCACTGGCGACGAGATGAACAATTCATAATGTGATCTCTACTTGAATAAGAAGAAGCCTTTCTTAATCGTCAATAAGAACAGGTCAAGCAATTTCAAATGCGTATCCTAACATACTTAACACAACCACTGAACCTCAAACAGAAAAGGTTTACTTGTGAATCATTTATATAACATATTTATATCCCTTTGTTCATAAGCTCTTCGTTAACCTATCAAACTAATTTTTAATCGTTTACTAGTTATTATCTCTGGCCAGTTCATTATTAACAGACTGCCTTATTCACAACGGCATTTCGCTTGCTTATGTATGGGTTGTAAATTCTCATTCAATGGTGTTATGTAGTCTGACATGTTCGGTGCATAAACTATATCTGCTTGAAATATGATTGAATTTTGTACAGAAGGGCTACAGATTTCTGAACTCAATAGGATGATTTTGGACTAAAAAGAACTGAGTTTTTGACTAAAGGTTCTTAGAGCGTAATCATATCTTGACTGTAGTTTTCTTGTAGTCATGCTGTACAAGGCATCGGTTAAGAACATAGCACACATTGATACCAATCAGCAAAGTATCATGACTAAAGTTAAAGGTGGGAAACATTGAATAATAACAGAGAATTGTGTGTGTTAAATTCTGAAATACTTGCACGAAACACATGTTAACCATACTCCGAGATTTTCAATAAAATTTTTAACTCGACTTCAATTTCGATAATCAATAACAACAATTCACGTATAATTTCATGTCTGAAAAATATTTTTTTTCACAACAACAAATAAACATACCAATTGTAGACTACTTACATCTTTTAATAATTTTTCACAATAAATTGGCCATTTTGATAAATTGTCTAAATAAGCAACAATCATTGTCTTAGACAATGTTTCATTGAATGAATTGCATGGATTTCTACTTCTCGATGTATTGACATGTTGATCATTATCATGATCAATAACATTTTCAGCGTCCACTTCATCTAGAAATGTTAACTTCTCTAAATCATCTAATGATAAGCAGAGAATTTCAGCTGCTTTCATTTTAGCTAATTGTAAACTAGTTTGGCTTATTGTAGTAGGCTTTGATTTAACTGAAATCAATGAATTAAGAGTCGAAAAGAAAAAAAATAATAAATATATGGATATTTTCAGTATAAAGTGAAGATGGTTGAGTTTTTGAATGTGATAAATTCGTTACTAGGTAAGCTTTAAGCTATTACAAGTTCACCTTAGTCGATAAACGCGAACGAGACAATGAACCAGCGTCCAGATAGGCTACCTTGAATCCCAAGCTGTAATAGAACACTTTGTAATCGTAGAAAGTATATTCTAAAAAACACCCAACAATCACAATACAATCAAGCACACAAATCTCGTTTATTTATACATCATAGAAACGTCGTTGGGACAGTCACAAAAATAGCACACTAAAATACACAGCAGTCAATCGCAAACGAGGATTTTCCTGGTGGGAAATGAAATATAAAGGTCAACTGATCAAACCCTGTTGGAAAACGTGAAATCCAAAATAAGGCGTTTAACAAGCGAGTTTTGGGGATCTAACATCCCCAACAGAATGGGAAAGATGAACCGATCAATGTTGAAATACTGTTGGAAAACTGGAACCACTAGACAGCCCTGTTTAATCCCAGTATGGGACTACTCGTCAGCAGTGCGAATCAATGACCCTGAGACTAAGAATCAAAGTCAGGATTTTCGGTCGAACGCACAATGTTTTAAACTGATTCAGTGGTCAGCAGGTCGAGGGTCAACAGGCCGAGGATGTTGTGCTTTTATGGTAGTGGATGCTCACTGACGAGGAGTTGCATACTAAGACGAAACGACCGTTTACTGCTTCCAGTTTTCCAATGGTGATCCAATATTGACTAGTTCATGATTTCAACAAAATTAAATAAAAAAATATTTTTAGGATAGAAACGTGTGCAAATTGTTGAATGTTATTCAAACAACAGTATAGTATTGTGAAATCGATCACAGTCAAATATCTACACTACAGACTATCTACTGATTAGCATAAACGGAGTGCATTTCATGTTTAGCCGTAACTTCTCATGACTGTGAAATAGTTCCATGTTAGAATGTAACAACTTGTAGAGCGTTTCTCGCTTTTCATTTTGTTGTCAAACCTGTGTTAGTTCTTCTCTTCACGGAACATAAAAAAGCTTCCTCCTATAGTCAGTCTAGTAGAAAATTACTCTGATAAAGTGAATACTGTGGATAATTAATTTGTCCAATTCTAAGCGTTCTTAGAAAGCATAAATGTTTTGACTACAAAATAAAATTACTCCATTGCATATAGAATAAGTATCATTAGGTGTTTGACTGTTGAAGAATGAACGACAATTGCGCAACCCAATAAAGGAAGATCCAAGACCGAGTAGGTCAGCGGCCTATACTCCATTGGGAGTAACAGGAGCAAGTAAGTAAGTGAGTAAGTGAGTAAGTAAGTAAGTAAGTAAGCAAGTGAGGTGTCTGTCATCAATATCTATTTTTTGATTTCAATAGCTGAAACTTCTCTTCGGAACTTCATAGAATTATTTTGAATTATAAAAGAAAATATACACACCTCATTGACTAACAATCGTTTACTGAGTAATGACCGTTTTTCAAATAGAATTCTGACATCTTCAAAGTTGATATGATATGATTTTGAATAATACTGTTAATAATATTGGAAAAGGTTTAAATCACTTTAAAAATGCACTGCATAGTAGTCGAATTACATCACAAGTTGATTGGATTTAGAAGCTGTGGACTATTAAAAAGTATGATAGAGAAACTGAAAAGTCTTTTAAGCGCCGCCAAACTTAAAGAATTTGGATGCGGTACAACGTACAGTTAATTATTCTAGCCTGTGCTACTCAGTGATACACCAAAAAAAACAACCTAATTATTAATAGATTGTGATTTTTATTGTGGTCGTGAACGGATTCAAGTTGGACAGGCGTTTAAAAACTGCTAGTTTTGACAAGTTATTTCATCTCAGTATAGTACTCTTCACGAATATTCATCCAAGACCACAAACTTAAGAGTCAAACTCCGGATCTTCTTTCTCATTTTCAAATGAATGTATACCCTTCAAACATCTTAGTCAGTGACCTACAGTATTTTAATGTTTAACTTCAATAAACTCATACTACTACCGTATCGTTTTCCATCGTCATCGATGAATAGCCTCTTCGTACCCAGCGAAATTGAACTTCACATTATCACAGTTTCTCACTAGAACTCCAGGAATTTCTTTCTAGAGCTCATCACCGACTACCACATGATTGATTTCTCATTTATGATATGTAGTGCATATTATATTATTTTGTAAAGGTGTTCGTTTAGAAAATTTATTGTTTGCTCTCATCGTTTACTGATTGTACAGGTTAAGGATATAAAATCTTTTCATGGACTGATAAATGTCAGCATACTTTATAGAAAGATTGATGACATGAAAGTCGTTTATATTATTTAGTCTAGAAAGGGACTCATCATTGATGGATTCAATAATTTCTCGATCTTAACTAAATGAACATACGGATGTTGAACATCACTTAGAAAGTGCGTGACATGTAGACAGAAATACTCAAAACACATAACTTTATTATGTGATAATTATACTGTTGAGATGTTAATCTGTAGGAATATTAATTCGTAGTCACAGAATCCTTGAAGCTAAACATACAGCAACTGGACGTTGAACACTTGAAGAAGGTTAAAAATGGTGAAAGCGAGAAGATTTAATCATAGCGACCTGATTTGGTCATGTAGACATGGTCACTGTGCAGAGATTCTTACTCTTTATATTCGATAACTTACTCTATCCCCAACCATTATATGTTGTTTTGAAGGCTTAGAAAGCATACTGCTTACAGTCACCATAAAGCAAATCAGTCTACAATCATGGAATAGATCGATTATTTTAATAGCATAGAGAAGTGAACTATCAATGGCTTAGACCAGAATCTTACAAACCCTATCGATTTAAAAACTTTTGAGTTGTTGACTCTTCTAAAATAGATAACATGTGTAGATCTGTGTAACTGGTTTGATAAATTAGAAAGTTTTCGACACAAAATTTTCTAAATCTTCACTTCTCCTTAAGATAGATTTCATCAGTCAGTAAGTACCATTGTGTACGTAATCTCGATATAGGAAAACGTACTCATTTGAAGATTCATCAAATAAGTGAATTTAGAACCTTCAGATATTGTTACTAAAGTCAGCCAGCAATTTTACTTATCTTCGTGTCGAACAGTGTCCACAAAGTATTTCAGCTGTAAATGTTGTTGGAGAACTGACTCAAATGCAAGCCATCAAGTAATAGAGGATGGTTAGAAAGAAGGGTTCGTTTTACTGCATATGAAAAGGTACACGTTTGTAAAACTACTAATCAGGTAATCAATGTAGCAGAAACGATTCACCTTAAATTATTCAATGGTCTGATGATACGCCCAATAGTTTCCTTTAAAACTAACATGGTAAGTACGATTGTCAAACATTTATACGACTCATCAACAGTGCGCATTCACGTTTCTTGCTTGCGGAAATCGAACTCAGGACCTTAGGCCTCGTGTGCGAACCATTAAAATCTAGAACACTGAGCCTTCATCCAACGGTGTTAATATCTAACTTCGACCAATTCAAATTCTTTTACAACCTCATCCATTGTTTTCACCGGGCTTCTAAGTTTCGAATATTGGTTTCAGATTGATCGAGTCACGATTTCAATCAAACTCAACAATGCCCACAACCGTTTGAAACAATTTATTTTAATATCACTTGATTGTTCAACTCATATTATTTGAAATACTTAGTAAGGACAAAAATAAAAATAAATTTCAGTCAATCCACTTACTAGATAATTGATTTTTCTCATTGACCGGTGTTGTACACATGGAAGAATTGTTACATAATTGATAAATAGCTTTCATGGTTTTCATTAATTCATTTGCCAATATTAAGATAAATTTTTCTAAATGTTCACTTTTATCATTCTTTAAAATAGAGAAGAAAACAATCCAAATTAGTTGATTATTCTCATTGTCCAGTTATGATGGGTGCTACTCACAAAGTGGAATTTAAGTAGTATATGGTCGAGCGTGATTTAGAAGTTGCTACCTGATACAAGAATATCACTAATCAGAGTATACTGAGAACGAAAAAATGTGTCAGCGAATAGAGTCAATAACCTGCTTGAATTGAAAATAGGTGATTGAAGATTGTGTATACATATTTCGTAAACAGTATTTCATCTGGTCTTGACTTCATCTTATACTTACCAAATATTCAGGAGAGAATTTTAACTGGTCGTTCTTGACGTATATACACTACATATGGATCGATGTGACCGAATCATCTGTCGCATCATCAGTGCGATAACTCTAAACGTTTACCAATAGTGATGTCAATATCATATTGATTACATTAATTAGTAGAGTTTTGAAATTACTAGCTACATGGATAAAACGGAGATATCTAAGATTTAAACCTCAACGTTATTAAAAAGCAACGTAAATCATATCTCTGTATACTCAAACTTAGATTGATGGCGTTAACGAAGAGCTTGGTCCACATGTGTGTGAGTTTTTTTCTCGGTGGCCGTACTACATTCGTACGGTTAAATGAAAATAATAAGACGAGATGGAAGTGATGAAGTAACATCCATAGAAAAAAGGAATTGTTGGGGACGTTAGATCCCCACAACTCGTTCGATAAATGCCTTATTTTGGATTTCACGCTTGCCAGCATGGGCTGATCAGTTGACCTTGAGATTTCATTTACCACCAGGAAAATCCATGGCTGTGATTGGCTGCTGTGTATTTTAGTGTGCTGTTTATGTGACTGTCCCAAGGACCTTTCTATGATGTATAAATAAACGAGATTTGTGTGATTGATTGTATTGTGATTGCTGGATGTTTGTAGAATATACTTTCTACGCTTACCAAGTCTTCTGCTTTGCAGTTTGGGATTCAAGGTAGCCTACCTGGACGCTGGTTCATTGTCTCGTTCGCGTTTATCGACTGAGGTGAACCCGTAATAGAATGAATCTTTGGAATATCATTCAAGAAGACATCGCTAAGCTACGTATGAAAGAATATCGTAATCCACGATTGTGGTGAAGATAAAAAGTGAATTCGCCTATGTCACTGCAACCGGTCATTAGCCATATTACTCAAAGTTTCATTACTGTTATCGCATGCACTCCAGAGAGTGAATCCACGTCTATTAATAAGACTCAAAACAACAAACAGATAATGACATCATCAGCTAACAGAATCACTTAGTTTGAATACTCTTAAGATATGAAAATGTGTATCACTTACAGCACAAATTCGATTAAACTTTTTAGTTTGTTTCATTGTATTCTCTGATCTATTTGTCATAATCTCATCATTTTTAAATTTTTGTAAATTTAAATAATTCACTTTTAATTCATTTAATTCATCAATTAAATGATGATGAGTTTGTTTTAAATGATAAAAATTTTGTGTAATTTGTTTTTTTTCATTAATTAAAATGTTTAATTGAACACGTTGACTTTTAATAGTTTGTTGTAAATGAATTTCAGTGAATTTCAAATTTTCAGTAAGTTTTTCTTTAGTTAACTAAAATAAAATTAGTTTTGAAGAAAATAAAATAATAATAATTAAGTCGTTTGATAGAATAAGGTAACCAATAAGTAAATAGAATATATATTGATTTGGTACATCAGTGACTATGTTTCAGTGTTAGTAGTTTATGTTATGACTAGTGAAATAAAAATCACTGAGCAATAAATAACTGTTGTATTGAAACCATAAGATGACAGCCATTAGGCCACCATTGAAAAGCTATTAACAATGGATGACTGTTTCATTTTAATATAGGACTCTTCAAGAGTAAGCAACCATCATGCTTTGTCCTCACACGACACCAGTAAACTCCGTAAGTCACGATTTCTAAGTAGGTCTCTGAAAATTCCTGACGGTGCTGGTCACTAAAGAGTACATAATATCATGGATCGCTTGAAAATAGACATTAAAAGCCCTCGATGCTAACTAAGTCGTCAACAGGTTGAATGTTTGAGAGCTAAACCGAAGGTCTTGAATTCGATTCCAGCTCAAGAGGTCGTGAGTCCTCACTATCTGATGAGTCCCATACTAGGATGAAAAAGTCATTGATGTCCTGGGATTAGTTGATTCAACACTCTCCAAAGTCACTTACTGATAACAGATTGTACGTTTATATACACTTACGACTCTGCAAGGAACAGACGTTTAGATATTCTGAGTTTGCGTCGATGGTGATATATATATATATATATATATATATATATATATATATATACCACTAACTCAAAACATCAGATGCTTCAGATATCTGTAATTAGTTGATTTATAGTATAACACTATTTATCTAACTTCAAACATTGTTGAACTCGATAGGATAAATTTAAGTAACGATGATAATTTGTTGTGGATGCTAGATCGTCAGATATCGCTTTGTAAAATCCTCTTAATTTTGCAATTTATTTATAAGAGTTTAAATTTCTTATTTTCACTACGGTAGAGTCCATTGTTATCTTCAGGTTGTGTTTCCTACTTGGAAGGACTTTAAATCTGTTGGGGATGTTAGATCCTCAGAACTCGCTTGATTAATTTCTTTATTTTGGATTCATTTCACAGGCTGATCAGTTGACCTTGAGATAACATTTCCCACCAGGAAAATCTTCGGCTGTGATTGGTTACTGTGTATTTTAGTGTGCTAGTTTTGTGATTGTCCCAAGGACGTCTCTATGTTGTATAAATAAACGCAATTCGTGTGCTGGCTAAGTGTTTGTAGAATACGCTTCCTGAGCTACATCAAGACTTTTTGCTAGTACATTTGAGTCAAGGAATCACAGTAGCCTACCTGGATACTGGTTCATTGTTTTGTTCTCGTTATTTGACTAAGGTGAACCAGTAATAGTTTTAGGCATTCCTAGAGACGAGTGTAACGAAATCTCATTGATTAGTTTTCTCTTTTAGTGAGCTATTTATACTGCTTCCAAGATGACATTTAGTACCACATTTGAACTGAATGTTTAATAGTTCGCTCATTATTTCTGTGGTGCTTGTAGATTATACAATCTGTCTACTAACTTCACACATCTGATTCTAGTTAGTTAGGCTCAGCCGCAGACGAACAGTTTATTTTGTTTCATTATTATGTCATTGATTTACTTTACATTCTCCAATATCAAGTCGTATCCTAATTAGTCACAAGCATAGAAGTGGCGACTAGGTCAGTGAAATTATAGATCCTGTTGAAGTAGAGTTATTGTTGGAGCAACAGCTAACATGTATGCATAATGTTGATAAACACCAAAATTATGTCTACCTTCCAACTAGACATATCTACTTCTACTATTGCACTGTCAGTTGATGGCATTACATTCAGTATTACCGAATTTCACTACAATGTACATTCAGAATACAACTGAACGATCATTTGTTGTTTGTATGACTACAATTTATGTTATTAGATAAGTCATATTACTATCTTGCTTTAACAATTCATATATTCTATGATAATTGTATCGATTGGTTTTATCTTGTAAAATCCGATTTGAAGAAATCGATAATTTTGTGAAAAAAATATATTCCGTTGATCAACTCAATTAATTATTCTAGTGTAACTCTGTCAATATTAATTCATGTAAGTTTAACTTGAAATGAATAGCAAAACCAGTGATGTCAGTCCTACTTAAACAATGAAGAATCATTAAAATTCTTTGCGAAGGAAACGATGAACTTATTGCCCGAATTACTAACATGGATGTATTGTTGTATATAGGGACTCGTCAGATTCATGTATTGATAGAGTTGATGTTCGAGAAAACTTGTAGCTCAGGTGGATGATTGTGGTGGTGTTTCGTTCTCTGGAGCTTTCATTGTTCTTCTTCTGAACAACATCATCAGCATAAACTTCAGATAGAAGTGAAGCATTCGAATTTCTCCACGTTTGACCTGTAGCTTGTTCTGCTAACTTCGATCTTGATTGGTTGCTGTTGACTTTAAACCTGTTGTTGTTTGCACCTTTGTTTTGATTGAATTCCACTTTTGATCTGTTTCTTGATCCTATGTCACCTATGATTTTCCTGACTGGTTGATAAATTGGGTCAATGTCGATGTGTTTGTTGATTGCTGATTGACCTGAGTGCCAAGCTTCTAAAAATTCTCTAGTGTTCTTTGTCCTCCCCCTACCCAGTATTTCCACATTGTTGCAATCGAATGTGTGTCCATAATTGTCCGTGTGTGTATTGATATAAGCGAAGAAATGTCATGGCGTTTGACTGCTAACTGATGTTTACGGAAACGAAGCTGAATAGGACGTTCACTTTGTCCTATGTGTAGTGTTTTTCACGCTCTGAGCAATTTATTTTGTAAATGATATTTGGTTTTTCTTCCTTTATCATTTTGTCCTTTGGATGCTTCACTTCTATCTGAAGTTTGTGCTGATGATGTTGTTCAGAAGAACAATGAAAGCTCCACAACCAAAACAACCAGCTCAGAGAACCAAACACCACCACAGAGTTGATGTTCAGCTATTTAGCATTTGAATCTAATACTGTTTGCTTCAAATGCTGTCTCATCAACCAATATTTAGCTTCTGAATCCAGATAGCTACTGGCCTATGCAATGAGGTAGGGGAAGTTTAATTTATTTGTATTGAATCTTACCCTTGGATAGTTAATGACTGCAATCGATCGATCAAAATTGCCAAAAATAAACGTTTTATTCAGGTAAGTTATAGACTGATCATTCAGAATTTTCCGATTATTAAAATGAAATGATTGTATTTTATGTAAATAGTGAACATGAGAAGAATGAACAAAAACTGGAAAGAACTGGAAAAGAAAGTCCAGGATAGAGTTGGTTAGATAAAGCTGGTTGGCTGCCAATGCTTCATTGGTGAGCAACAGGCGTAAGTAAGTAAGTAAGCAAGTAAGTAAGTATGTAAATAGTAAACCTGTGATGAATTTTAGAGATCAGTAACCAGACAAATGATCCTTAAATTGTTTGTAAAATCATTAATGCTGGGTTCAAAAATAACTTGGTATCACGCTACACGTACAAATATATTGAGACAAACAATTTGACGGACAACATAATATGGATCTTGGATCTATTAACTCGCTTATTTCAAAGCAAACAGTTATATGATATCTGATATAGATATAACATAAATCTTATTTAAAAGTTAAAAACATGCAATTCAGTCAAAGAATTCTTATTCAAACAAACTTTTTTATCGAGCCATACAGTTTTGTATATAAACAATTAAACTTTGAATTAATGGAGTGATTAAAATTGATTAGATATTCAGGAGTAAAACTCCTAACAGGTTTACTATCTGCTTTACATAATAAAATAGACAGTTAATATGTTTTGCATTATAAGGTTGTAGAGATTATTGAGTTTCATTAAAATCATGAATCGATCATTGTTAGACTACCATCAGAAACCTAGAAGCACTGAACAGCCGTTTGACCCTACTTTGAGACTCATCAACAGTCAGCGCACACGATCCCCACACGCAGGAATCGAAACCAGGATGTTTGGTCTTGCGCGTGAATGCTTAACCTTTTTGACCTCTGAAGTGGCATCCGACGGTGTTAACGTCTAACTTAGATCAATCAACAATATTGTTTTCGGTGCGGAACACACTAGACACGGTTAAAGTCAACTAGTCAAGAATTCTCACTAGAAATTTAATAATTTTCTCACAAATCTAGTCACTAGTAAGACTTAAGGTAATTAGTTCCATACCCATATGCGTGGGCATTGATGTGCACTACTGATGAGTCTCACATTAGGACGAAATGGCTTTCCAATGCTTCCAGGTTTCTAGTGGTAGGCCAACAATGATCAATTCATGATTTCCATAGGAGTTATAATACGTTTGTTTGTTTACTTTTCTTGCTAATCAAGTAAAATACAAATATTTTATTGTTCAATAAAACAAATACAAACTTTACAATTTACCATTATAATTTTTATTTAGAAAATTAACTTACTAAATCATTTTGAAGATCTTTTTGTTTAGTAAGAACACATTGAAGTCGTATTTTTAGTTCTTCAATACAATGACGTCGACGTTTGGTTTCATTTTCAAGTGTAACAATTCTATTCTTCATATTTAAATGTTCAATTCGTTTATGATTGATTAATTCTTGAAGTTGATGACTAATATTATGAGAGATTTCTTTAATGAATTTCTATAAAACAAATAAGTTACACATTTAAAAAACAAATCAGAAATATTTGAGATCAAACAATCGAAATGCGTACTTCAAGTGACTTTCAGAGATTTCAGCCAATCATAAAACAGGGAATATAGAACAATAATTTGTTTTAAAAAACAAAGAAAACTTATGATGGACATACATGTTTCAGATGATTTGAAAACTACTAATGAATTGATAATAGGTTCGGCTACTGTGAAATCATAATGTGCAGAGTAAAGAAACTAGTCCATGTGACTTCACATTAGTCGACCTTTGAAATTATGATAAGGTTGCAGAAATGTTTCTTAGCCTCGAACACACCGCTTCTATCAGTGTTGGGATCTATAAAGTATTTGTTTGTGAATGGCAACTTGATGAATGTAAACGTCCTATGTTCGTCAATTGGTACGCTTGAAGCTATTACGAGTTCACTTTAGTCGATTAACGCGAACGAGACAATGAACCAGCGTCCAGATAGGCTACCTTGAATACCATGCGGTAAAACAGAAGTCTTGGTAAGCGTAGAAAGTATATTCTACAAACACCCAGCAAGCACAAAACAATCAAGCACACAACTCTCGTTTATTTATTGATGTAATCAAAGAAATACGTTTCGTTTATTTGGGATGTGTACATCTTGTGCATATTGACTTGATATAACCATTAGGTTACAAGAATTATAAGCAGTGATGAATCATTGTTATCAGTAAGAGCCAAGACCTAGGTTTTATCCTATATCGGACTAGTCTGTTGTTGGATGCAACTGCATACCAGAGTTGATGTTCACTCAGGGATTTCAAACAAGTATCGTTCACTTCGAATGCCGTCACGTCATCCACTTAACTACCGAGTGGTTGCCTTGTTCAAAGGATGGAAGTTTAATTGACTGTGGGTGCTAGGTTCGATTCTCAAAGTGTACATCCACTCTTACTTGCCGGTACATCCAGTTATAGGACGAAACTCACGCTTTAGATTCCACTGCTATCTATAACGTTCTTCCTTGCATGTGTGTTTTCACAGTCTTTTCATCCGGTCTGATATCTGACGTTAAAGATGTTCATTTTATTTCTTATTGGTTGATGGATTAAATCGACTTCGAAATGTTCATCAAGGGATTTTTAACCCAGTTTTCTATTTACTCATTCTAACCAATAATTTAAACTTTATCCAGTTACATTCATATCCATAACTGTCCCAAATGCATTGATTCTTATTACTGAATTAGTGTAAAGTATTCATAATACAATTCAAGAATACAATACTTCTCATCTTGGACTATTTAAATCTGTTCATCATCCTGATAATCATAAGTATCCCATTAAATACCATCTACTACTAAAAACCAGTAATGATGAATAAGTTTGTGATGAATGTACTTTATGAGCGTAAAATGTCAACATTTGCAATACCTAACTATACTAACAATATTTATGAACTACTTTTGACTGACACTCAAGATATTTTGAAAATATCTCACCTTTCCAAAAAGTTATAAATTAGAGATTTAGAGTTAATATTTTCACCACAAACTGACCTCAGCTATAAGGTTAAAATGATTTTTAGCCTTTTACATGAATGAAATTTGTACCGGAATCGTTATCTTTGTAGTGTGTATGAATACGTCGAGCTCATATGGCTGGTCTTAGCTGTTAGACAAACTGATTAACCTATTCTTCTAGAAGCATTATTCTCTCATCTTTTAACCTTATTGTAAAGTCACTCATAACCTTGTTTTTATTAGAGTGCATGAGTGCATTACTTGCCTCGCCCATCCCGTGTCTAGCTTATTTCTTTCTAACTATAAATGCTCAGTTATGTTTCCACGTAAAGAGGTTGGCCCACTCGTCTTCTCCACCTAGATTCGTTTCATTGTGTATTGCTTATAAGCTTCCCATTATTATGTTGGTCTGAATATGCCAGTGTATGAAATAGATTCATCCAAAATAAATCGTATTCAGCTTTTAATTACTGCTGCCCCACAAACTAAATCCGCCTAGGACCCCTAAGGGGCTACTTCTAGTCCAAAGCCCGGGTAAAGACCGATGGTTGAACATGGGATTTATGATTCAATCCCGTCGAGAAAACGATAAACATAACAAATAATTCAAACTAGTTAAACTCTACCAAAGCCAAAAAATGGATTCAGGTAGATGAATCTATTTCATGAAATCGTTCGCACATACAACCATGAGAATACAAAATGTACAATCAGAGCGAAGCGTAATGAAAAAGGCGAATGAGCGAATTCTAATGCACTGAAGCATGATTAAGTATTTAAAGTCAGACAAAAATAAGCATGACATGTAAGCAGCACACACACTCGAATAAAAACAAACAAGACTTTTAGTGTATAATAATATAGATAAGGCCAAAAGATGTGCGAATAATGGATTAATTAACTTGTCCAAAGGTTGGGACAGGTCCTGAGAGTTGGACACATTAGTTGGTATACACACTACGCAGTTAATCAGTTCATATTGAATGATGTTAATCTATATAGTGCAGTAGCTAAACTTCACTTATTACACTTAACAACTTTATTTCATATTAAGCGAATTCATCAGTAAATACACAATCACACAATACAATATGAAATTTACGGGAGAATATGTACTTACACCTGTTACACCCAATGGAGCACAGGCTGCCCACCAGTTTTCTCCAACCAACTCTGTCCTGATCTTCTCTCCAATCTAGTTCTTTCCAGTTTATGTTCGTTCTTCTCATATCTTCCTCTATTTCCCGGCGCAATGTGTTCCTTGGCCTTCCTCTTTTCATTTTGCCTTCAGGGTTCCATGTGAGGGGTTGTCTCGTGACGCAGTTAGGTGCTTTTCGTAGTGTGTGTCCTATCCACTTCCACCGCTTCTTCCTGATTTCCTCCTCCGCTGGAATCTGGTTTGCTTCCTCCCATAGTACGTTTTTGCTAATGCTGTTTGGCCAATGAATCTGAAGTAGTTTGCATAGACAGCTGTTAATAAACACTTGTATCTTCTGGATGATGGCTTTCGTAGTTCTCCAAGTTTCCGCTCCATACAGTAGAACTGTCTTGACATTTGTATTGAAAATCCTGATTTTGGTTTTGGTTGAAAGTTGTTTGGAGTTCCAGATATTTTTCAATTGTAGAAATGCAGCCATTGCTTTGCCAATCCGTGCCCTCACATCTGCATCGGATCCACCTTGGTTGCCGATGATGCTGCCCAGATATGTGAAGGTGTTAACGTCCTTCAAAGCATCTCCATCAACAGCGATTTGGTTGGTGCATGTTGTGTTGCATCGGAGAATTTTGCTTTTTCCTTTATGTATGTTGAGACCTACTGCTGCAGAGGCTGCTGCTACACTGGTCGTCTTCTCTTGCATTTGTTGTTGCGTGTGCGATAGAAGAGCCAGGTCATCTGCGAAGTCCAGATCATGCAGCTGCATCCTGGCTGTCCACTGTATACCGTGCTTCCCTCCAGACGTTGGCGTCTTCATAATCCAGTCGATCACCAGGAGAAAGAGAAATGGTGAGAGTAAGCAACCTCACCTAACACCGATCTTCACCTCGAACGAGTCTGTTAGCTGTCCTTCGTGTACGATCTCGCAGTTGAATCCATCATTAGAATTACGTATGAAATTAGCTCATATCATATAAATGTAATTGTTTTCAATCAGTGAGTTTTGAAAAGAAAAAAAACAACCTTCCTTTTGAAAGTTAAAACACCGACTGAACTCACTTTACAATTCATCTTTTCTAATGTTGATAATGACAAATTATTTTCCGATCGATGTTCGGATGTGATTTGATCATTTTCCATGTGGAATTGTTTGATTGTATCGTGTAGTTTGATTAAATGTGTTTTAACACTCTGAAAAATAAAAATATACATTACATAAGAGAGTTTATTGTAATATTGAAAAGCTGTGCTGAGCATTGTGTACTTGCATCTATATATTCTTACCCTAAAAGGAAGCCAAAGCTGGAACTGTTCAACCTTGTTGTGAACGCTTAATTGTGGACCTCTGGACGTAAGATCTAATGGTTTGGGGATGCTATGTCCAAAAAAAGCTTACTACGTTGTAATTCATTTGTGGAAATTTGAATTTCTCGCTTTCAACCTGAAAACGTTCATTATTACCTTATGTTTACGTCTCTTGCTTGAAAGGATCTTAAGGGTTATCGGTTTATTGCCTCATTTGATATACTATTTTGTGAGGTTTTTCAAGGACACTTATGTGTTGTTGCGTATGTTGGCTGCTTGTAAAAATCATACATTTCTTGCTGACTATGGACATCTTCTTCTAGGTTATCTAGATACATTGATACATTGATGAATAGCTTAGCTATTTACTGGTACCAAGGAATTATCTCGTAAATATCGCGAACATAACACTTCTGGACTAGGATCTAATTAGTTTCGATGTCTAACTTCAATCAAATTGATCGCCTTCCATCCCGGACGGTGTACAACTATCTTACATTCGACAAGGGTCTAATTCCACAACCTGATTCTCAACTTTACAGTAGAACTCTAGAAAGTATATTTTAAAATTAGTTACTAATGAACACATAATTATTAGTAAGATAAAAGGTTAAGAGTAGTAAAGATTGTAGAAATCACATAGAGATATTTACTTTACATTCCTTGGACTCATAAACAAACATACATACATACATATTCTTACCTCAATGATACGTTTAAGTCGAATATTTTGTTTACGACTTCTATGTAACATATTTTTCAATAATTTGACGGAATTATTCAATTCTTGATTTGATTGTTCTGCTTGTATTTTCAATTTTCGCATTACCTGATACTATAATAAGATACAGTGAGTTATCATGTTGTTTGACGATAAAAACATATGAACTATTTATATACTGTTATGTGCCGCAAATCAATCTGATTGACAGTAGACACGATCTATCGTAACTCTACCTGGAGCCCCTATAAAGCTACTGCCAGTCCCAAACCCGGATAAAGGAAGGGGATTCGGGATAAGTTTAACGACCCTATACCGTAGAAAATCAACTCGATTTAAAAACGTTAACCGGAATGAATCATTCAAACCGTTTAAACTCTGCCCCTAGGAGTTGGAAGGTCTTTATTTCGAAGAGTTATGACGTCTCATGAGTTCTTTCGGAAGTCACGAAGCCAATGCCCCATCTGACAACCAGAGCAACCGATAATTTTGGTAAATGAAGTGATCGAACAGTGTGGGAGACCAGGTGAGTTATCCAAGTTGCAGCAAAAATGATCATTTGAAGAACAGTTGTAACTCACAAAAATTAACAACCAACACTAAAGTCACAATTTTCAGTGCAAACGTCAAAACAGGTTTACTGCAGGGGCCGGAAACTTAAAGAATCTCAGAACCCATAATCAAGAAGATACAGGTATTTATTAGGAGTTGTCTACATAAAATACTTCGGATCCGTTGGCCGGACACAATCAGCAAAGACCTAGTGTGGGAAAGAACAGATCAGATTCCAGTGGAGAAAGAAATCAGGAAGAAGCATTGATGATAGATAGGATACAGATTGCGGAAAGCACAAAAATGCGTCACAAAATAAGCCCTCACTTGGAATCCTCAATGTCAAACAAAAAGAGGAAAGCTAAGAAACACATTACGCTGAGAAATAGAGATAGACATAAAAAGAACGAGCAACAGTTAAATAAAACTAGAAAGGAAGGCCCAAGACAGATTAGGTTGGCGAATGCTGGTCGGTGGTCTATGCCCCATTCGGAGTAACAGGCGTACGTATGTACGTATGTATAATAATCAACGATATCTAAAGTCAGCTCAGCGACTGAAATACAACCACAAAGTCAGATGAAAGAATGAGGTAATTTAATGGACTGTTTACTTCTAGTTTAGAAGTATCAATATATATATATAATTTCTTTGTCAGTCTATCGAATGAACTCAAGATCTCACTTTCTATTCTCTTCTAATAACCTCGAAACTTGATTTATAGTGTAACTTGTACACGAGAAGGAAAGCATGAAGCGTTACAAGAACGCTTTAACCCAAAAGTTAATTTATTCAAAAACAAATGACGGAAGTTTTAGATTTACTAATGCCTCCCTCTTCAACAGTATTAAGTTTTATATTTCGGAGAATTTCTAAATCTGATCGAATTCATACCTTATTGCTATTTTTAATGAAGATAATTTGTGGAGATTGTACTATTTTGATAGTTTGAAATCACGAACTAATCAAAAGCTAGACCACTGTCAGAAACTTGAAAGCACTGGACGACAGTTCTGTCCTAGTTGGGTTCTCCTCAGCGGTGTGTATCGATGTCTCTTGTACGCTTGAATCAATATTTATAATAAGTAAAAAAATGAATAGTGGTCGTTGACAAATAGTCTCATTCAATATAAAGTTTTCTAGAGGATAATTTTACAAGTTAAATTTAAACCTTTGAATAGAAATGAAATTCAAATTAAGAAACACTGCTTATGATTCCTGATGGCGAAATTCGGTACGCTCGTTTAATCCTATTTTTAGAACTAGTCTGTAGGTAGATAAAGCTGTATCCGAGGAACACTAACCTAGTATCATGTACTTCAAATGTTATCATGTTATCCGCTTATCTACTGTGTCTAGACAGACACTGGCTTGTGCAAGAGAATGCAGTTTAATGCATTTAAATTGAAATGATTCAAACTACCGGTAAAATGTGTACGTGATTCAAACAACTTCCAACTTCATTCTTGCTAACCATGTTTAGTTAAAATAACAATCTCAACATTTCAATGCGTCATATAGTTGAAATATCACTATGTAATCTGATTATTATACCTGTTGTATTAAAGAATGATTACGTTGATTTAATAATTCATAAGAACATTGAATTTCTGATAAATTGGGGATTGGATTTTTTGCTTTGAGTAATTGAATAGCATGCTTTCTTGATCTATTAATATTTATCAAAAAAAAGTTATATTCAAGGGAGAAAAAGAATAATAGTAAGTGATAAGAATTTCATTAAAAATAGATAAACGTTCAATGAGAATTTTAGCTAATAACTAGTTTCATGAGGGGATTCTCAAAGTGCTAGTGGGAGGTTGTGACCAGTTGAATCCTAATTTGTCGCTTGTGATTTAAATACCTAATGAAGACAAGAGATGAAGGTCGCACAATATTTTAGATTGATCCAAGTTAGACAGTTGGATGCCCAGTCAGTGGTCAAGAGGTTAAGTGTCCGCATGCGAGACCCAAGGTCCTGGGTTCGATTTTTGTATGCAGGCGTCGTAAATGCGCACTTCTGACGAGTCCCATACTTAGGATAAAACAGCCATCCAGCGCATCCAGATCTTTAATGATGGTCGAATACTGAATCACGTCATATGTTTCTTTAAATCATTGAGTTGGAGTCTAATAGTTTTTTTTATTTTCAACCTCAGTTATTTTATGATATCGAGTGATTATTGTTTGGGAATACTGAAGGGTACCATGGTTTACAGGATGGAGTTTTTCTTGGATCAATATGTGTATGAGTAGTAGACGTATGGTGTGTACTACCTACAATAAGGCCTATAAGCACCATGCAATGGATATACAGTAGAATGTTGTCAAGAAGTTACAACTAAACAGAAAAGTTGTGTGTCCAGATACATGACGCAATCAGAATTTTCTGAGGAACAGAAGATATGTGGAAGATGACAGCTAAGAATACGCTTGTTTTGCAAATAAATTTTTTATGAAAAAGTGTATAATTTTGGCTAGTAGGTTGTCTACCAAGCTTTACTTGTGTTGGTACAAGAAGTAAGATTAACGAGGAACAAGAATATCATCAGATTGAAACTTATAAGGCAGATTTGTTACTCGCGACCTAAGGAAAAATTTGAAATTGATCGAATCTACACCATTGTGAATAATTTTGATTCATGTTTCCCATGTTTTACATCTAACTCCTTCTGGAGCCCCCTTTGAGGCTACTGTTGGTCCCAAGCCGACATAAAGCAGGAGGGTTGGGCATGGAGCTGGCGACCCCATCTCTTAGAAAACAAATTATATATATGTATATGAATTTGGAAATTCATACTTGTAAGTAAGCATTTTGTTCAACGTCCTATTCTCTAAGTTGAGAATGGTCTTTAGATAAAAACAATTGATTAAAATTTTTAGTCTGAATCGTTGAATGTAAATTCAATAAGTTTGCTGACAACCACTGTACATGTGTACTTTGATTCCTAAATTATTTTCATCACGTTGTGTTTGATTATGTTTCACTGTTTTCCTACGTAAATTCACATTCACAGTACATGAATATCGGCAGGTTTTATGTGTTTGACAATGAATTCACAAAATATCTTTACAATTAACTAACAATTTGTGATATATTCCTAAAATATGAGATTACTTGATATGACAAACAATGATTTAATTGGTTGGAGTATAAAACAGACCCTAAACAACTATCAATCAACATCAAATCAGAATTTTCAATACAATTGTGAAAACAGTTATACTGTATATGGCGGAAACTTGAAGAACCACACAACTGTGTCACAAGACGAGCCCTAACATGGATTCCACAAGGCCAAAGGAAAAGAAGTAGACCAAAAGTCACATTACGCCTAGAAATGAAGGCCCACATGAGAAGAACGAACTGCAACTGGACACAACTGAAAACGAAGACCCACGGCAGATTAGTGTGGAGAATGCTGGTCGGCGGCCTGTGCTCCAATGTGGGATACAGGCGTAAGTCAGTAAGTAAGTAAGTTTCATTGACAGCATTAATCGATCAATGTTAGATCGTCATTAGAAACCTGGAGCACTGGATAGCCGCTTCGTTCTAGTGGGGGACTCATCAGCAGCATACATCCACGACCTCGCCCCCGGGACTCAAACCCAAGGCCTTTGATATCGCGCACACACTCTGAAACTCTTAATCACTGAGTAGAAATCTAATGGTGTTAATCTCTAACTTGGAGTATTTCATACTGTTGCGTAACTAAATCACAGGTGATAGGGTTAAACTCTGCTGGTCATAGCTTCTCACTAAAACTTCCAGAACGTGCTGACGTAGCTAGTCACTAATGAGTACATGACTTCACTGAAACTCAACAAGCTGCACCATCCTTTACTGATAATTATCATGTGCTCATTAGCCACTAGATTCGTGAGGAAATTCTTGGAGTTCTAGTGATAAGCCATGGTCATTTGGGTTCAACCATGTCAGACAGGGGAAAATTAAGCAAGTAAGAAAGTGGAAAATGGTCACTTAATATCGAAATTAGACACTAAACACTGTTAATTTGACAACTCAGTGTTCGGGAGGTTAATAGTTTCCGTGTGAGACGGAGGTCTTAAGTTCGATTCCCGTGTGTGTGGTCGTGCATGCTTACTGATAATGAGTCCCATACTAAGGACGAAGCGGCCGTACAACTACTTCACTATAAACAATTCATACAAAAATAGCGTATTAATGTGTTATTTTCATTCATTCCAGTGGTTCAATAAATCCATATCAACAGTTTTTGTGTTTTCATTATGCATTATCGAAGTTACCATCAAGCACAAAACAGTTGAGCATTCCACAGTTATAACATCGTTAAACAACCGTTTGTCTACCATTCACATCCTGTTATGTAACGTACACTGTTCACGAGCAATAAACTTTGAATGATTCTCAAATTAAAATTAACTTAAAGAATTAAACAAGAACTCAGTTCGCTTACTTTATTAAACTCATTTTATAATCATTGATCAATTTCAATTTTGGCGCACTATTTAAATTTTGTTTTACATCTAGTTTAGAACTTGTATTATCGGACTGATTATCATCATAATTCGATGTAGTAGTTTGATGATCATTTTTGTCAGGACTACACATATCTTGACATCGATTACATTCACTCGGATTACTGAAATCCTCATGAATTTTATCAGTAGCTTCATAATTCCAATTCAATTTTCGTCTTGAATTATATTTTGACATTTTTCTGGGAACAAGTATATTCAATGATGATCTATAGCAATGAAATGATTAGAACAAAATTTGAAAAATAATTTAAAAAAGATTTAGAATCACAAAGAAACGATTTACATCATCAATCGATAATTTTGATAGAGTTAACATACTGTAAAGAGAAATGGTTTCATTGAAAAGCTTTCATTGTGTCCATGGCATTACCAGTAGTAGTAGTAGTAGTATGAGTACAGTAGTGGTAATAGTAGTAGTATTAGTAGTATTAGTAGTAGTAGTGTAGTGAACGAGAACACAGGTGAGGCAACCGAATTGTATTTAACGATAATTACAGAGTTACTCAGTAAAATAGGAAAACCATATCGTAAATCGTTCATTTGCAAAATAACAGTTCATCATATCGAACTGCACTGTTCCTGTTGCAAAACATCAATCCATTGTCACTATTCATGCGTTTCATAGAAATTCCATTGTGTTCTAACTCTTCCTTTCTTGATCTTCCCCCATCTTCTGCTGCCAGACATTACGTTGACGCTCACGTCATATACTACTTATAAGTAGCTCGCACCACAGTAGTAGTAGTAGTGGTAGTCGTCGTTGTAGTGAGTGAACAACAGAATCAGCCTAACCGATAAAAAACCTAATTTTGATCATCAGACACTCTGAAGCAATCGGATATTTAATCATAACAGCGTTAATCAATATTCTATACTACTTAAAAGATTGACATTTAACGAATAAGGATATAATTTATCCTTGAATTTGAATTTTTCGCCTTTTTGTAATGGCTATAGTTAAAACAAACTAAATGTATGACATTATTCAAGATGAATTGGACAAGTTTCTTGTGAACTATTGTGAATAGATGATCTTAACTATATTTCGAATTTTTATTTAGAGTTATGGAGATTAGTGTTTAAAATCATCATTGGGTGAGGGCGCGCAAAAATCCTTAGATCAATCAGAGTTAGACATTAACACCGTTGGATGCCGGCCCAGTGGTCCAAAGGTTAGGCGTTCGCGCACAATACCGAAGGTCTCGGGTTCGAATCCTGCGAGGTGCAGGAGTCGTGGATGCGCACTGCTGATGAATCCCATACCAGGACGAAACGGCCGTCCAGTGCTTCCAGGTTTCTAATGGTGGTCTAATATTAATCCGTTGGTGATTTCCAATGTGTTTCTAATGTTTAATGAATCAACTTAGTTATTAAAAGTTTAAATATTTAAATAGAATGGAAAAGATATCTAAGTTGAGATCAGTTTGTGATGGATACCTTGCACAATTTATTACTCTAACAGATACAATTTTCCAAAATACCTGACTTATTTATAATTTTGAAAAAAATTGCTTACGTTTAAATTTTTTAGCAGAAGAGAGCTGTAGAGATTGTTAAGTATCATTGAAATATTGAATACTACTGGCGAACGCCTTAAATCCAAATCAATGAGCGGGCATTCAATGCCTAACCTCAATACATGTGTGACATTGCATAACCATCTTTTATTGTCTTAGTAACTACGTCATACAGTAATTTTTAAAAAGTTCTTCATTTTCACGAAAAAAAACCTACTTCAACCATGATATTTTGTGATGTTGAGATGAATTGTGTTTTGATTTTATGTATTTAAGTCTAGCTGAAAGCAATCGACAATGATTTTCCAGTTTTCTGAAATAAAGTATTTTTTGAAAAGGAAAATGATGACGAACAATATATGTAGTTAAGGTATAATATTTCTAAAAACGATTAAAATATATCAGTTGAACTGCGTACTATTTCGGTGGATACTACTCACAATATAGCTTATAAGTAGTATGCAGTGGAGTGTTATAATGAAGTTACTATTGAATAGAAAAGTGTCAGATCCAAATATCTGGCAAGATCAAAGTGCTTTGAAGACTAAAAGACATATCAGGAAGACATCCCATAATCTGACTGTTTTTCAAATGGAAGTCTGGAAATAAGGTTGACATATTTTGCAAGTAAACTATGTCTTTCCTAAATGCACTGCTATTCTATCTGGTCTCCATGTCTTCGTTCATTACACTATTGTGTTAAGCATACACAGCTTCATCGAGCTTTTGGACAAACAGTTATTCTGTTCTTCCTCAGTAGTAGTCTTATGACCATGTCAAATATTCACTTATACCCTTGGCTGTTTCTACCTGAGTGTTTGCGGGTGTGGGTTGCTTACTTCACTTAACACATTTTTTGCTTATTTTCATCTGACTATGAATAGTTAGTCCTATCTAATCAAATGAAGTTGGCGCATTCACTTTCTCCACTTCGTTTTTTCCGCTTCTCGTATTAGTATCTTTCAGTATAGTCGTGTACAAGAAACAAACTTATTCAACTGAATATATATTTTTGACATCTGATTACCGCCATAGCTCAAACGAAATGTTTATATGCAACTGAGTATTTGTGAATCTTATTCGGTAGGCAAACATAGTTTCTCTCCCTTTCTTATCTTCTTGCTTAAGTAGTCAGTTTTAAGGGAATTGTAAGTGTCATATTCCTATCTCAAACAATGTTCATCATATCAATTTTTATCGTTTAAAATTGTTCCGAAACCGTTACTGATCTTTGGAACACATTAGTAATGTGGTTTGCACTCACTTCACTTTAATATTTCATATTAAATTCATATAACTTCAGACATTATTTATTCTTTTACCTAATTTTTAGCTACAGAATTATTTCTCTCTCAGATTATGTCACCGAAGTTTCAAATTTATACCACAATCGACCATCTCAGTGATCTATAGGTTAAGTGTTTCTCTGACGCGTTTCAGAGGTCGGAGATACACAGTACTGAAGAGACACGTTGTAGGACGAAACGGTCATTCACTTCTTACAGTTCTTCAATATCTCTCTAACTTAGGTCACTTTAAAACCTTGAAATAAACACAAAAATATTCTGTGTTTATACTGTTATACTGAGATCTATTACAAACATCAATTAATCCAGGTCTTCATATTTTTAATCAGCTCGGAGGAGAAAAGAGGTAAAATGAAATTCAGAAATAGTAATAATATAAAAACTGCAAAATTACAAGGATAATATTGATTGAATGACACACCATCACCGAGACTGATTTTGAGTGACATCATCAATAGACTTTAACCACAGATCTTACGACCTCAGGCTGGTGATCAGTGTCATATATTTCAGGTGCTTCCTAAGGCTGATCGGATTCTATCGATCAAGTTGTGATTTGGTCACTAATCTAAATACCTTGACATTGCGTGCACTATGTTGAGATGACACAGAATCAAACATGCCAATGAGCATCAATTCTTTCAAGATAACAAGTACACCTTACTGACGAGAACCAAATATGACGAAACTTAGGTACAAGGATTTCTGTCAACTAACTCCAAACACCATCTAACATTACAAACCTCATCGGGGATTTGTGTTAATTTCAAATATAGATCAATGCCACGACTATGAATTTCATAGACCTATATTTACGCATAAATTGTGTTGTCTTCAAGTTTTTGTACAAAAACTGCCATATTTGTTGACAATACGGTTGGTGATTTCATCCATGCTCACAGCCACCGAATTCAAGGGGCTGAACTTGAAACATAGTACAACACATTTTTTCGAATTCAAACACTCCAATCGTGGATTAGTTCTCAGAAGAGCTTGTAGGTACAAACTAGTGAAGATGACCAATACTTCCCTAACTTCGAACAATCTTCTAACTAAACCTATTTTTTGTTAAATGTCTAGTATGATTTAAAAATCAATCGGCATGCTTCAATTGATTTCATTCAAACAATACATTTTACTTACTTTTGTTTTTCTTCCCAAAATGCATTCATTTCATTGAGTTGAGATTTTAATTGATCATTTTCATTTTTCAGACTTGACCACTAACAAAAAGAGATTAATTTTGAGAAAAAAAACAAAAAACATCATGTTCAATAACAAATTTACCATGATTGATCATTTGACACGCTGAAAAATGTTTCAATTTCAAATTTGTCGTAGAGCGGTTGTTTTAATGTGCAATTAATTAGTTCAAGGGGAACATTTAACTCGCTTACTAAACGTATTCAACTTATCAATTTAGTAATAATGTATATTTTTTGAGTTCTACTAAATCTATTCTTCAGTATTCTTCAACATACATTAACCGAAAATCAATTTGAAACAGGCGGATAAGTTTCAATCAAATTATCCCCAATATAGTAAGTGGTGTTAAACTCAAGAACAAAATAATCACGTTCTCGGATTAGACAAATCGCTGAGATGAAATAAATAACCAAGTTAATTATAGGATGTTATGACCAATGGAATTCAACCGTGCAGGGTAGGAAACAACTAAACATAAAAGAATATGGAAGATGATTGAGCGATATCGTGAATCAATTGAAATTAGACATTACTACTACTAATTTGATGACTCAATTGGTCAAGTGGTTAAGTGTTCGTGTGTGAAACCGAAGATTCTGGGTTTGATTCTGACTTATGGGATAGCGGAGGAGCATTACAGTGGAGTTCCATAATATGAAGAATTGGCCATATAGTGTTCATGATTTCAGTGGAACTTGATAATCTCCACAATTTTGTATTGATAAAATACTACTCAAAAATCATTAGTAGTATATGTCAGTTGAAATAACCATTGTGATGTGTGCATTTTGGACGTTTATGAAAACGTTTCGTTTGAATAAATCACTTCTATATAAAATTTGTGTTGATAATATTTGTTATTTTGTATAATGTCTGCTATCTGAATGTCAATCCATCCTAACCCCCTAAACTGGCTATTTGGCCGAAAAGCCAAAAATGTAAGAGAAAGTTTATTTGACTACCGAATCCGACGAACTCTTTGCCCTTAGAGAGTGAGCTACATTCGGTCTTGAGGACATTGCTGATATTCACGAAATAACTTTCTCAATCAGTTACTAATGACTAATTTATTATAATAATATTGTTTAAAGGGGCAAAGAAATCCCCACAAATAAACCATTTAGCTCAGAGGTTAGAACTTCATTAAAATCTTTTGTCCATACGACTAACCGTTTTTCTACTCTCTTGATTTAGATTATATTTGAAATATTCATTATCTGATTTCATTTAACTTACTTACGACTTATAACAATCTAAATAGTAATTGCTCTCTGAAATGATCTTCACCTTGGAATGCAAGAAGTTTTCATCACATGCAAAGATTTTATTAACTCTGACGTAGTGAATCCTAACATTTTTAACTACCGAGTATAATAATATCTTTGAAATTATGAATCAATGATTTTTAGGCCACAATTACAAACCTGGAGGCGCTGAACAGTCGTTTCATCCGAGTATGGGACTTATAACTAATGAGCATTCACGAACTCTGCAAGGGAGAATAGAATCGACGCTCTTTGGTCTCACACGCTATCACTTAACCTTTTTACCACTGAGTTGGAAAATCACCAGAATTAACGTCTAATTTCGTTCATTCCTGAATATTGTGCATCCATAATCTAATGTCTTTGGCGAGTAACTGCCTCACATTCGATGCGGTTGAATTCCGCTAGTCATGGCTTCTCACCAGAACTCCGAAACTTCCTTGACGAAGCTAGTCACTAGTGAACACATAATATCGTGGAGTAACTGAAGTTAGACATTAGTACCGGCTCATTAGTGTTGAGTTCAAGTGTGCACGCGTGAGACCGAAGGACTAGGGTCCGATTCCTAGTTTGGTATGCCACGGGTGCGCACTAGTGATGAGTTCTATACTAGGATGAAATGATCGCTTTCGGGTTTCTTATGACTGTCTAACAATAATCGTTTCACGAATTCAATCAAAATACTTTATATTAGAAAAAAAATTGCTGGTTGCCCTTACCTTTGATAAAATATCCTTATTCAAGTTATCTAAAATATTAATGAAAAAGAAATTAGTTCTTTTTGATGGCTTAGGAATTCGTAAGACTAGAATTTGAGATAACACAAAAAATGGATGCATCTGAGCCATTGCACACGATGTTCGGCCATATCATTCAGAGTCTCTAACCATTGGTTATGGCAGTTTCGAGGACCGAAACCACCTATTCTAACATAGTTCAGTCCAATTGTCGTGGGTTCGTGTCATCTTTTGTTTTATCCCGTCACTGGCTTTGTTCCATCCTTCGTTTACATAACAAAACATAGCTCGACGAGGCAGTAGATGGTTGGGCATACGTCACACATGTCCCATCCACTTCATCTGGTGAAGACTAACTAACTGATCTCCCATTCTTACCTAGAACTCGTTTCCCAACAACTGCACTGCTAACTCGACGGTACCAGGATATACGAGCAGTGCTTCGAAGACACTTATGATCGTAAACCAGTAACCCACGAATATCTCCTACTCTTATCAGCTGTGTCATGCCCATATAGTAGGACGGAGAGAACTTCTGCGCAGTAGACTCGTCCTTTGGTTAGCGGACGGATATCTCGCCTACGTTGCAAGTTGGTAAAAGCTAGTGATGAGATTTCGTCACATCAGTCTATCAGCACTGGTGAGACTTCCAAGATAAGTTGGACGGTCAACAGGCTTAACTACTTCACTCTGTATCACTAGTTCAGGTGCCGATGCAAGCCAATCCCGAAATAACATTTTTCATTGCAGGAGGAGGGGGAGAACTGCATCGCGAACATGCTTGCAATACTGCTTAAGATTACCAGTAGACTGTGAATTTTTTCAACGTCTTCGTCAAATAGAACTGTGTTATCATCATCATCGTATTCCACGTCAACAAATGAATCTCCTGGTAGAAGGTCAACTCCTGAGAAGTCAGACGACTGTATCATCTCTAAAAGCACGTCAATAACAAAGCAGATTAAGAATAGAGAAAGTGGTCAGCCTCGACGAACACCACTCATGTCTAGAAACCCACAGAGAGTCAAATCTAGGATCTCAAGGCTTTATGACAAGTGTTTTACTTTTGAATTATTCAAGACAACATTACTAATTAGTTAAAGCTAAACATACAAACAACTGGATGACAGTTAAATAGGTAGGTAGATAGAATAGTTAATTAAACAATGAGTCGACATATTGATCGACTGATATATGATGCTTCTTTTCATATAAATATGATGGATAAATTTTAAAAAAACCTGTGATTGCTTACTTGATTGAATATTGTTTGAATTGCTTGATCGGCTAGTATGCTTTGATTTAATCGGAGATTGATTTTGCCTGTAGAATGAATGAAGTTCATAGAACAAATTTATTTTCAGTTAGAGTTAAATACGAGATTACTGGATATGACAGAACAAGTGAATTTAATTGTGTTGGGAGTATAAAACAGGACTCTAAACAACTAATTAATCAACACCAAAGTCAGAATTTTCAATACAATTGTGAAAACAGTTATACTGTATATGGCGCGAAACTTGAAGAACCCACCAACTGTGTCACAAGACGAGCCCTAACATGGAGTCCACAAGGCCGAAGGAAAGAAGTAGACCAAAAGTAACATTACGCCCTAGAAATGGAGGCCCACATCAGAGGAAGAACGAACTGCAACTGGACACAACTGAAAAGGAAGACCCCACGGCAGATTATGTGTGGGAATGCTGGTCGGCGGCGTATGGCTCCAATGTTGGATACAGGCATAAGTTCAGTAAGTAAGTAAGTTTCAGTGACAGCATTAATCGATCAATTTTAGATCATCATTAGAAACTTAGAAGCACTGTATAGCCTCTTCGTCCTCGAATGGGACTCATCAGCAGCGCATATCCACGACCTCACCACTGGGACTCGAACTCAAGGCATTTGGAATCGCGCACACACGCTGACACTTAATCACTGAGGGCGAAATCTAATGGTGTTAGTCTCTAACTTGGATTATTTCATACCGTTGCGTTACTAAATCACAGGTGATAGGGTTAAACTCCACTGGTCATAGCTTCCCAATAGAACTTCCAGAACGTGCTGATGTAGCTAGTCATTGATGAGTACATGAAGTCAGTGAAACTCAATAAGCTGAGCAATCCTATACTGATAATTATCGCGTGCTCATTAGTCACTAGATTCGTGAGGAAATTCTCGGAGTTCTAGTGATAAGCCACGGTCATTGGGGTTCAACCATGTCGAATAGGGGACAATTAGGCAAGTAAGAAAGTGAAAAATGGTCACTTAATATCGAAATTAGATATGAAACACTATTAATTTGACAACTCAGTGTTCGGGAGGTTCAGAGTTTTCGTGTGAGACTAAGGTCCTAATTTCGATTCCCGTGTATGTGGTCGTGGATGCTTACTGATGATGAGTCCCATACTAGGGACGAAGCGGTCGTCCATTGCTATCATGTTTCTAATGTTGGTCAAACATTGGTCGATTCACTACTTCACTATAAACAATTCACTCTCAACAATCAAAGTCACCATCAAGCACAAAAACTATTGAGCATGCCACAATTATAACAGTGTTAGACAACCATTTGTCTATCATTCATATTCTGTTATGTAATTATTACCGCTTGATCATTATAAGTACACGGTTCACGAGCAATAAACTTTTGAATGATTTTCAAATTAAAATTAACTTGAAGAATTAAAACATGAACTGAATTCGCTTTACTTTATTAAACTCATTTTATAATCATTGATCAAATTTCAATTTAGGCGCATTATTTAAATTTTGTTTTACATCTAAGTTTAGAACTTGTATTATCGGACTTGATTATCCTCATAATTCGATGTGGTAGTTTGATGGTACATTTTTGTCCAGGACTACACATATCTTGACATCGATTACAATCACTCGGATTATTAAAATCCTCATGAATTTTATCAGTAAATCACATAATTCCGATTCAATTTTCGTCTTGAATTATATTTTGACATTTTTCTGGGAATAAGTATATTCAATGATGATCTATAGCAATGAAATGATTAGAATGAAATTTGAAAAAATAATTTTAAAAAAAAATTTAGAATTGCAAAAAAAACGATTTACATCATGAATGGATAATTTTGATAGAGTTAACATACATGTAAAGAGAAAATGGTTTAAATTGCAAAAGTTTTCATTGTGTCCATGGTATATACTAGTAGTAGTAATAGTAGTGGTAGTCGTCGTTGTAGGTGAAGTGAACAGCAGAATTAGGCCTAACCGAGTAAACAACCTAATTTTGAACACCAGACACTCTGTGAAAGCAATCGGTTATTTAATCATAACAGAGTCGTAAACCAATTTATCTATACTATTAATAATATTGACAATTTAACGAATAAGGATATCATTTATTTTCGAATTTGAATTCTTCGGCTTTTTATAATGGCTATAGTTTAAAACAAACTAAATGTATGACATTATTCAAGATGAAATTGGACAAGTTTCTTGTGAACTATTGTGAATAGATGATCTTAACTATATTTCGAATTTTTATTTAGAGTTATGGAGATTAGTCGTTTTTTACACTTTTGAAATCATCATTGGGTGAGGTCGCGCAAAATCCCTAGATCAATCAGAGTTAGACACTTAAACACTGATGGATGCCCGGCCCAGTGGTACCACCTGGGCCGGCATCCATCAGTGTTAATGTCTAACTCTGATTGATCTAGGGATTTTGCGCGACCTCACCCAATGATGATTTCAAAAGTGTAAAAACACTAATCTCCATAACTCTAAATAAAAATTCGAAATATAGTTAAGATCATCTATTCACAATAGTTCACAAGAAACTTGTCCAATTCATCTTGAATAATGTCATACATTTAGTTTGTTTTAACTATAGCCATTATAAAAAGCCGAAGAATTCAAATTCGAAAATAAATGATATCCTTATTCGTTAAATGTCAATATTATTAATAGTATAGATAATTGGTTAACTCTGTTATGATTAAATAACCGATTGCTTCAGAGTGTCTGGTGTTCAAAATTAGGTTGTTTATCGGTTAGGCTAATTCTGCTGTTCACTCACTACAACGACGACTACCACTACTATTACTACTACTAGTAATACCATGGACACAATGAAAACTTTTCAATTAAACCATTTCTCTTTACAGTATGTTAACTCTATCAAAATTATCCATTCATGATGTAAATCGTTTTTTTGCAATTCTAAATTTTTTTTAAAATTATTTTTCAAATTTCATTCTAATCATTTCATTGCTATAGATCATCATTGAATATACTTATTCCCAGAAAAATGTCAAAATATAATTCAAGACGAAAATTGAATCGGAATTATGGATTTACTGATAAAATTCATGAGGATTTTAATAATCCGAGTGATTGTAATCGATGTCAAGATATGTGTAGTCCTGACAAAAATGACCATCAAACTACCACATCGAATTATGAGGATAATCAGTCCGATAATACAAGTTCTAAACTAGATGTAAAACAAAATTTAAATAATGCGCCTAAATTGAAATTGATCAATGATTATAAAATGAGTTTAATAAAGTAAGCGAATTCAGTTCATGTTTTAATTCTTCAAGTTAATTTTAATTTGAAAATCATTCAAAGTTTATTGCTCGTGAACCGTGTACTTATAATGATCAAGCGGTAAATTACATAACAGAATATGAATGATCGACAAATGGCTGTCTAAAACTGTTTTAATTGTGGCATGCTTAATAGTTTTATGCTTGATGGTGACTTTGATTGTTTAGAGTGAATTGTTTATAGTGAAGTAGTGAATTGATCAATGTTAGACCAACAATAGAAACATGATAGCATTGGACGACCGCTTCATCCCTCGTATGGGACTCATCATCAGTAAGCATCCACGACCACATACACGGGAATCGGAATTAGGACCTTAGTCTCACACGAAAACCCTTAACCTCCAGAACACTGAGTTGTCAAATTATCAATGTTTAATGTCTAATTTCGTCATTAAGTGACCATTTTTCACTTTCTTACCTGCCTAATTGTCCCATATCAGACATGGTTGAACCCCAATGACCGTGGCTTATCACTAGAACTCCGAGAATTTCCTCACGAATCTAGTGACTAATGAGCACATGATAATTATCAGTAAAGGATGTCGCAGCTTGTTGAGTTTCAGTGAAGTCATGTACTAATTAGTGACTAGCTACGTCAGCACGTTCTGGAAGTTCTATTGGGAAGCTATGATCAGTAGAGTTTAACCCTATCACCTGTGATTTAGTTACGCAACAGTATGAAATACTCCAAGTTAGAGATTAACAACATTAGATTTCAACTCAGTGATTAAGAGTTTCAGAGTGTGTGCGCGATATCAAAAGCCTTGGGTTCGAGTCCTAGGGGCGAGGTCGTGGATGTACGCTGCTGATGAGTCCCTTACTAGGACGAAGCGGCTATCCAGTGCTTCCAGGTTTCTAATGACGATCTAACATTGATCGATTAATGCTGTCAATGAAACTTACTTACTTACTGACTTATGCCTGTATCCAACATTGGAGCATACGCCGCCGACCAGCATTCTCCACACTAATCTGCCGTGGGTCTTCCTTTTCAGTTGTGTCCAGTTGCAGTTCGTTCTTCTCATGTGGGCCTCCATTTCTAGGCGTAATGTGACTTTTGGTCTACTTCTTTTCCTTCGGCCTTGTGGACTCCATGTTAGGGCTCGTCTTGTGACACAGTTGTGTGGTTCTTCAAGTTTCCGCCATATACAGTATAACTGTTTTCACAATTGTATTGAAAATTCTGACTTTGGTGTTGATTAATAGTTGTTTAGAGTCTGTTTTATACTCCAACCAATTAAATCACTGTTTGTCATATCAGTAATCTCGTATTTACCTGCCGATATTCATGTACTATGAATGTGAGTTTACAAGTATGAATTTCCAAATTCATATATTTATATATAATTAGTTTTCTGAGAGATGGGGTCGCCAACCCCATGCCCAACTCTCCTGCTTTATGTGGGCTTGGGACCAACAGTAGCCTCTGAGGGGTTTCTGATGGAGTTAGATGTAAAACATGGGAAACATGAATCAAAATTATTCACAATGGTGCAGATTCGATCAATTTCAAATTTTTCCTTAGGTCGCGAGTAACAAAACTGTCTTATAAGTTTCGATTTGATGATATTCTTGTTCTTTGTTATTCTTACTTAATGTACCGAGACAAGTAGAGCTTGGAAGACAACCTACTAGCCAAAATTGTTCACTTTATCATAAAAAATTTATTTGCAAAACAAGTGTATTCTTAGCTGTCATCTTCCATGTATTCTGGTCCTCAGGAAATTCTGATTGCGTCATGTATCTGGACACACAGCTTCTCTCTTTAGTTGTAACTTCAGGATAACATTCTACCGTATGTCGATTGCATGCTACATATAGGCCTTATTGTAGGTAGTACACACCACACGTCTACTACTCATACACGTATGGATCCCAAAACATCTCAACCCTGTAAGCCATGATTCCCTTCAGCATTCCCAAACAACAATCACTCGATATCATAAAATAACTGAGGTTGAAAATAAAAAACTATTAGACTCCAACTCGTGGTTCAGTATTCAACCATCATTAAAGATCTGGATGAGCCGGATGGCTGTTTTACCCTAGTATGGGACTCGCCAGAAGTGCTCATCTGCGACACCTGCACACGGAAATCGAACCCAGGACCTTTGGTCTCGCACGCGGACACTTAACCCCTAGACTACTGATTAGGTATCTAACAGTCTAACTTAGATCACTCTAAAATATCGTGCAACCAACATCCCTTGTCTTCGTTAGGTAGTCAAATCACAGGTGACAAGTTAGGACTCCACTGGTCACAACTTCCCACTAGCACTTTGAGAATCCCCTCATGAAACTGGCTATTAGTCAAAATTATCATTGAACGTTTATAAGTTTTCTGGAAACTTTATCACTTACTACTTTTTTGCTCACTTTTTTTTGATAAATATTTATAGATCAAGAAAGCATGCTATTCAATTACTCAAAGCAAAAAATCCAATCCCCAATTTATCAGAAATTCAATGTTCTTATGAATTATTAAATCAACGTAATCATTCTTTAATACAACAGGTATAATAATAATGAGATTATACAGTTTTATTTTTTAAATGATATTTTAACTATGTGACGCATTGAAATGTTGAAATTGTTATTTTAACTAAACATGAGGAAGTTGGAAGTTGTTTGAATCACATACACATTTTACTGGTAGTTTGAATCATTTCAATTTAAATGCATTTAACGTCATTCTCTTGCATAAGCCAGTGCCTGTTTAGACGCAGTAGATAAGTGGATAACGTGATCGCATTTGAAGTAAATGATACTGGGTCAGTGTTCCTGGGATGCAGCTACATCTATCTACAGACTAGCCCTAAAAAAAGAATAAAATGGGCGTACTGGATTTCGCCACCAGGAATCATAAGCAGTGTTTCTTAATTTGAATTTCATTTGTTTTCTAAGGTTTAAATTTAACTTCTAAAATTATCCTCTAGAAAACTATATATTGAATGAGACTATTTGTCAACGACCACTATTAATTTTTTTACTTATTACAAATATTGATTCTAGCGTACAAGAGACATCGATACACACCGCTGAAGAGACCCCAACTAGGACAAAACTGTTGTCCAGTGCTTTCAAGTTTCTGACAGTGGTCTAGCTTTTGATTAGTTCGTGATTTCAAACTATCAAAATAGTATAATCTCCATAAAATTCTCTTCATTAAGAATAGCAATAAAGTATGAATTCGATCAGATTTAGAAAAATTCTCCAAAATATAAAACTTAATACTGTTGAAGAGGGAGGCATTAGTAAATCTAACACTTACATCATTTGTTTTTACATAAATTAACTTTTGGGTTAAACTTCTAACGCTTCATGCTTTCCTTCTTGTGAAAGAGTTACACTATAAATCAAGTTTCGGGGTTATTAGAAGAGAATAGAAAGTAAGATCTTGAGTTCATTCGATAGACTTATGAAGAAATTATATATATATATTGATACTTCTAAACTAGAAGTAAACAGTCAAGTTAATTACCTCATTCTTTCATCTGACTTTGGGGTTGTATTTCGGTCGCTGAGCTAACTTTAGATAACGCTGATTATTATACATACATATATACGTACGCCTGTTACCCCGAATGGGGCATAGACCGCCGACCAACATTCGCCAACCTAATCTGTCCTGAGCCTTCCTTCCTAGTTCTATTTAACTGTTGCTCGTTCTTTTTATGTCTATCTCTATTTCTCAGCTAAATGTGTTCCTTAGCTTTCCTCTTTTCGTTTGACCTTGAGGATTCCAAGTGAGGGCTTATTTTGTGACGCATTTTTGTGCTTTCCGTAATCTGTATCCTATCCATCATCAATGCTTCTTCCTGATTTCTTTCTCCGCTGCAATCTGATCTGTTCTCTCCCACAGTAGATTGTTCTTGCTGGTGTCTGGCCGACGAATCCGAAGTTTTTGCATAGACAACTGTTCATAAACACCTGTATCTTCTTGATGATGGCTACCGTGATTCTACAAGTTTCTTGACCATACAATAAAATTGTTTTGACGTTCGCATTGAAAATTGTGACTGTAGAGTTGGTTGATAGTTGTTTTGAGTTACAGCTGCTCTTCAGTTGATCATTTCTGCAGCAACTTGGATAACTCACCTGGTCTCCTACACTGTTCGATTACTTCATGTACCAAAATTAACTTTTGCTCTGGTTGTCAGATGGGGCGTTGGCTTTGTGACTTCCGAAGGAACGCATGAGACGTCATAAATCTTCTAAATTAGACCTTCCAACCTCTAGGGTAGAGTTTAAACGGTATGTATTATTCATACCTCTTAACTTTTTTATATCGAGTTGATTTTCTGCGGGATAGGGTCGTTTATCATTCCCCAAATCGCCTTCCTTTATCCGGGTTCGGGACCAGCTGCAGGTTCAGAGGGTTCCAGGTAGAGTTACGCCAGATCGTATCCACTATCAATTAGATTGATTTTCAGCACATAACAGAATATCAATAGTTCGTATGTTTTTATTGTCAAACAACATGATAACTCACTGTATTTTATAATAGTATCAGGTAATGCGAAAATTGAAAATACAAGCAGAACAATCAAATCAAGAATTAAATAATTCCGTCAAATTATTGAAAAATATGTTACATAGAAGTCGTAAACAAAATATTCGATTTAAACGTATCATTGAGGTAAGAATATGTATGTATGTTTGTTTGTTTCTTTATGAGTCCAAGGAATGTAAAGTAAATATCTCTATGTGAATTCTACAATCTCTACAACTCTCAACCTTTTATCTTACTAATAATTATGTGTCCATTGGTGTCTAATCTTAAAATCTAATTTCTAGAGTTCTGCTGTAAAACTGAGAATTAGGTTATGGAGTCAGACCCTTGTTGAATGTAAGATAGTTGTACACCGTACTGGATGATTGACGTTAGACACTAGAACTAATTAGATCCTAGTCCGGAAGTGTTATATTCACGATATTTACGAGATAATTCCTTGGTACCAGTGAATAGCTAAGCTATTCATCAATATAGCAACCTAGATAACCTAGAAGAAGATGTCCATAGTCAGCAGGAAATGTATGATTTTTATAAGCAGCCAACATACGCATAAACTATACAACACATAAGTGTCCTTGAATAACCTCACAAAATAGTATACCAAGTGAGGCCACAAGCCAATAACCTTTAAAATCCTTTTAAGTAAGAGACGCAAACAGAAGGTAATAATGAACGTTTTTAGTGTGAAATGAATTACAACGTATTAAGCTTTTTTTGGACCTAGCACCCCCAAACAATTAGATCCTACGTCCAGCGGTCCACAATTAAGCGTTCACAACAAGGTCGAACAGTTCCAGCTTTGGCTTCCTTTTAGGGTAAGAATATAAATGTTAAAACATACTATATAGATGCAAGTACAAAATGCTCAGCACAACTTTTCAATATAAAAATAAACTCTCTTATTTAATGTATATTTTTATTTTTCAGAGTGTTAAAACACATTTAATCAAACTACACGATACAATTAAACAAGTCGACATGGAAAATGATCAAATCACATCCGAACATCGATCGGAAAATAATTTGTCATTAACATTAGAAAAGATGAATTGTAAAGTGAGTTCAGTCAGTGTTTTAACTTTCAAACGGAAGGTTGCTTTTTTCTTTTCAAAACTCATTGATTGAAAACAATTACATATATATGATATGAGCTAATTTCATACGGAATTCTCATGATGGATTCAACTGCGAAAACGTACACGAAGGAAAGCTAACAGACTCGTTCGAGGTGAAGACCAGTGTCAGACAAGGTTGCTCACTCTCACCCTTTCTCTTTCTCCTGGTCATCGACTGGATTATGAAGACGTTGACATCTGGAGGGAAGCACGGTATCCAGTGGACAGGTAGGACGCAGATGGACGATCTGGACTTCGCAGATGACCTGGCTCTTCTATCGCACACGCAACAACAAACGCAAGAGAAGACAACCAGTGTAGCAGCAGCCTCTGCAGCACTAGGTCTCAACATACATAAAGGAAAAAGCAAAATTCTCCGATGCAACACAACATGCACCAACCAAATCACTGTTGGTGGAGATGCCTTGGAGGACGTTAACACCTTTACATACCTGGTCAGCATCGTCGACAATCAAGGTGGATCGGATGCAGATGTGAGGGCGCGGATTGGTAAAACAAGAGCTGCATTTCTACAATTGAAAAATATCTGGAACTCGAAACAACTTTCAACCAAAACCAAAATCACGATTTTCAATACAAATATCAAGACAGTTCTACTGTATGGAGCGGAAACTTGGAGAACCACGAAAGGCATCATTCAGAAGATACAAGTGTTTATTAACAGCTGTCTACGCAAAATACTTCGTATTCGTTGGTCAGACACCATCAACAACAACGAACTGTGGGAGAGAACAAACCAGATTGAAGCGGAGGAGGAAATCAGGAAGAAGCGATGGAAGTGGATAGGACACACTACGAAAAGCACCTAACTGCGTCACGAGACAAGCCCTCACTTGGAACCCTCAAGGCAAAAGGAAAAGAGGAAGGCCAAGGAATACATTTCGCCGACAAATAGAGAAAGATATGAGAGGAATGAACAAACATTGGACAAAACTGGAGAGGAAAGCCCAGGACAGAGTTTGTTGGAGAAAGCTGGTGGGCGGCCTATGCTCCATTGGGGGTAATAGGCTTAAGTAAGTAAGTAAGTAAGTATCCTCTCATAAATTTCATATTTTAGTGTGTGATTGTGTATTTGCTGATGAATTCGCCTCGTATGAAATAAAACTGTTAAGTGTGATAAGTGAAGTTTAGCTTTTGCACGATAGAGATTAACAACATTAAATATTAATCGGTTAACTGTGTAATGTGCATACCAACTAATATGTCGAACTTACAGGACCTGTCCCATTCTTCTTCTCAAGTTATGCGCACGTCTTTCGGCCTTGTCTATTTTATTATACACTTACAGTCTCGGTTGTTTTTTTTCGAGTGTATGTGCGGCTTACTTCGCTTATCACATGTAATGCTTATTTTTATCTTACTGTAAATACTTAGTCATACCTAATCGCATTATTTTGGCTCGCTTGTCTTCTTCACTTTGCTTCACTTTGCTTTTACACTTTGTATTCTCACGTCTATTTGTACGAACGTTTTTATGAAATAGATTCATCTAGCTGAATCCATATTCGGCTTATTATTACCGCCGTATCACAAACGGGGTGTGATATACGGAAATTGAAGAGAAGATTTATTTCATGGCATAATCGTCTGAATTGGAGTCATATCGCGGGTGACTAGAACAGCTTTATAATTAATAGGGAAATGTTAGCCATCATTCAATCTTTACTACGGATATAAACATAGTTACATTTCAACGTGTAAACATGTCAGAATGTGGAAATGCTAATGAATTATTGCCCTAGTGGTCAGAAAGAGCATCGGTCTCCAAAGAAACTCAGCTTTCATTATGAGGTGTCACATTGCTCTTCTAAGTAAAACCTTCCAACTCCTAGAGTAGAGTTTAACTAGTTTGAATTACCTGTTGTGGTTATCGTTTTATTTCGCAAATTGGTTTTCTACGGGTTTGAGTTGTTAATCTCATGTTCAACCCTCCATCTTTACCTGTGCTTTGGACTAGAAGTAGCCCTTTAGGGGTCCTAGGCGGAGTTAGTTGTTTGTGGGGCAGCAGTAATTAAAAGCTTGATGCGATTTATTTCGGACGAATCTATTTCATACACTGGCATATTCAGACCAACATATAAATGAGAAGAGTATAAGCAATGCAGAATGAAGCGAATCTACGTGGAGAAGACGAGTTGGCCAACATTTTTACATTGAAACATATCTGAGCATTTATAGTTAGAAAGAAATAAGCTGGACAGGTGATAGGCGAGGCAAGCAATGCACTGATGCACTCTAGTAAAAACAACTAAAGTTATGAGTGACTAAACAATAACGTTAAAAGCTGAGCGAATAATGCCTGGAGAAGAATAGGTTAATCAGTTTATCTAACAGCTAAGACCAGCTATTTGAGCTCGACGTATTCATACACACTACAAAGGTAATGACTTCAGTGTAAAACTCATTCATGTAGAAGGCTAAACATCATTTTAACATTATAACTGATGTCAGTCTGTGGTGAAAATATTAACTCTAAATCTCTAATTTATAACTTTTTGGAAAGGCGAGATTTTTTCAAAATATCTTGAGTGTCACTCAAAAGTAGTTCATAGTATAGTTGGATATTGCAAATGTTGACATTTTACGCTCATAAAGTACATTCATCACAAACTTATTCATCATTATTGGTTGTTAGTAGTAGTTGGTATTTAATGGGATACTTATGATTATTAGGATGATGAACAGATTTAAATAGTCCAAGATGAGAGGTGTTGTATTCTTGAATTGTGTTATGAATACTTGACACTAATTCAGCAATACGAATCAATGCATGTGGGACAGTTATGGATATGAATGTAACTGGATAAAGTTTAAATTATTCGATAGAATGAGTAAATAGAAAACCGAGCTACAAATCCCTTGATGAACATTTCGAAGTACACCAGCCAATAAGAAATAAGATGAACATTTTCAGACCAGATGATAAGACTGTCAAAACACACATGCAAGGAAGAACGTTATAGATAGCAGTGGAATCTAAAGCGTGGGTTTCGTCCTATAACTGGATGTACCGGCATCTAAGAGTGGATGTACACTCTGGGAATCGAACCTAGCACCCACAGTTAATTAAACATCTATCCTTTGAACAAGGAAATGACTACCTGGACCCAGTAACTGATTGGATAACGTGACGGCATTCGAAGCGAACGATACTTGGTTGAAATCCCGGAGTGAACTTCTGCTCTGAGATTCAGGCGCATCCAGCAAATGACTAGTCCGATATAGGATAAAACGTAGGTCTCGGCTCTCACTGATAACAATGACTCAACACTGTTTATGATTCTTGTAACCTAATGGTTATATCAAGTCAATATGCACAGAATGTGCACATTCCCAAATAAACGAAACGCATTTCTTTGATTACATCAGTGTCTACAACTCATTGATACTGAAAAATAAATACTTAATTTACTGTAATTCATTTAAATTTCTTATTCTCAATTAAAATTTAAGTAATTTATGCTAATTTTTGTAAATTAGCATTGGTCATATCGGTCTAAACTCTTGTTAACTTTTAATGAAGCTTCAACTTTACAGTGATATGAGTATTGTAAAGATATCGCGAATTTAAACCTATCATCCGAAGATATCGAAGGAATAATAATTGAAGGTCAAGAAAAAGTTGTACAGAAAAATAAATTCATTAAAAGTAGGACTGTTAAGAGAAGATTAAGTAAGTATCGATTCCTTAAACATAATGAACAGGTCCTTAACATACTTGATAAGATATTACAAAAAAAGGCTCGTATGAACAATACCGGAGTATGTTCAACCAGATATCAATTATTTACTTAACTAATCAGGTTCGTTTTGTTGGGGATGTTAGATCCCTAGAACTCGCTTGATAAATGCCTTATCTTGAATTTCACGTTTGCCAGCATGGGCTGACCAGTTGACCTTGAGATTTCACTTCCCACCAGCAAAATCCATGGTTGTGATTGGCTGCTGTGTATTTTAGTGTGCTAGTTTTGTGACTGTCCCAAAGATGTTTCTATGATGTATCAATAAACGAGAGTTGTGTGCATGATTGTATTGTGCTTGTTGGGTATTGTAGAATATACTTTCTACACTTACCACACTTCTGTTTGACCGTTTAGATTCAAGGTGGACTACCTGGACGCTGGTTCATTGTCTCGTTCGCGTTTATCGACTAAGGTGAACTCCTAATAGCTTCTGGCTTACCTAGTGACGAACATAGGAAGTTTACATTCATCAAGTTGCCATTCGCAAACAAATACTTTATAGATCCCAACACTGATAGAAGCGGTATGTTCGAGGCTAAAAAACATTTCTGCATCCTTATCATCATTTAAAAGGTCGACCAATGTGAAGTCACATGTGATTTCACAGTAGCCGAACCTATTATCAATTCATTAGTAGTTTTCAAATCATCTTAAACTTGTATGTCCATCATAAGTTTTCTTTGTTTTTTAAAACAAATTAATATTCTATATTCCCTGTTTTGTGATTGGCTGAAATCTCTGAAGGTCACTTGAAGTACGCATTTCGATTGTTTGATCTCGCATATTTCTGACTTGTTTTTTTAATGTATACCTTAATTATTTTATAGAAATTCATTAAAGAAATCTCTCATAATATTAGTCATCAACTTCAAGAATTAATCAATCATAAACGAATTGAACATTTAAATATGAAAAATAAAATTGTTACACTTGAAAATGAAACCAAACGTCGACGTCATTGTATTGAAGAACTAAAAATACGACTTCAATGTGTTCTTACTAAACAAACAGATCTTCAAAATGATTTAGTAAGTTAAGTTTATAGATAAAAATTGCAATTGTACATTGTAAAGATTTTATTTGTTTTAATGAACAATAAAATGTTTGTATTTTACTTGATTAGCAAGAAAAATAAACAAACAAACGTATTGAAATCATGAGTTGATCAATGTTGGACTACCATTAGAAACGTGGAAGCACCGGAAAGCCATTTCGTCCTAATGTGAGACTCATCAACAGTGCAAATCAATTCTCACGCATGTGGGTGTGGGACTAAGTACCTTAAGTCTTACTAGTGACTAGCTTCGTGAGAAAATTATTAAATTTCTAGTGAGAATTCTTGACTAGTTGACTTCAACCGTGTCTAGTGTGTTCCGCACCGAAAACAATATTGTTGATTGATCTAAGTTAGACGTTAACACCGTCGGATGCCAGTTCAGAGGTCAAAAACGTTAAGCATTCACGCGCGAAACCAAACATCCTGGGTTCGATTCCTGCGTGTGGGGATCGTGTGCGCTGAGTGTTGATGAGTCCCAGAGTAGGGCCGAACGGCTGTTTAGTGCTTTTAGGTTTCTAATGGTAGTCTAACAATCATCGATTCATGATTTTAATGAAACTGAACAATTTCCATAACCTTATAATGAAAAACGTATTAACTGTCTATTTTATTATGTAAAGCAGATAATAAACCTGTTAAGAGTTCTACTCTTGAATATCTAATCGATTTTAATCACTCCATCAATTCAAGGTTTAATTGTTTATATACAAAACTGTATAGCTCGATAAAAAAATTCGTAAGAATAAGAATCCTGCATGTTTTTAACTTTTAAATAAGATTTATGTTATATCTATATCAGATATCATATAACTGTTTGCTTTGAAATAAGCGAGTTAATAGATTCAAGATCCCTATTATGTTGTCCGTCAAATTGTTTGTCTCAATATATTTGTACGTGTAGCGTGATACCAAGTTATTTTGGAACCCAGCATTAATGACTTTAAAAACAATTTAAGGATCATTTGTCAAGTTACTGATCTATAAAATTCATCACAGGTTCAATATTTACATACTTACTTACTTGCTTGCTTACTTACGCCTGTTACTCCCCAATGGAGCATTGGCAGCCAACCAGTTTTATCCAACTAACTCTATCCTGGACTTCCTTTCTCAGTTCTATGCAGCTTTTGTTCATTCTTCTCATGTTCACAATTTACATAAAATACAATCATTTCATTTTAATAATTGGAAAATTCTGAATGACCATTCTAAAACTTACCTAAATAAAACGTTTGTTTTTGGCGATTTCGATTGATCAATTGCATTCCTTGACTATCCAAGGGGAAGATTCAAGCATCCAATACAAATGAATTAAACTTCACCTACCTCACTGCATAAGGCAGTAGCTATCTGGATCCAGTAGCTGAAGATTGGTTGATGAGACAGCATTTAAAGCAAACAGTTTAAGATTCAAATGCTAAATTGCTGAACATCAACTCTACAAGTACATGGATCTGTTGAGTCCTTAAATACAACAATACATCAATGTTAATAATTTGGGCAATAAGTTCATCGTTTCTTTCGGAAAGAATTTTAATTATTCTTCATTGTTTAAGTATAATAGGTCGAGGAATACTATACATTTTAAGCTAAACTTACATGAATTAATATTGACAGAGTTACACTAGAATAATTAATTGAGTTGATCAACGGAATATATTTTTTTCACAAAATTATCGATTTCTTCAAATCACCAAACTGAATCCAATTTTCTAAGATAAAACCAATCGATACAACTATCACAGAATATACGAATTGCTAAATCAAGATATTAGTATAGATTATTTAATAACATAAATTGTAGTCATACAAACAACTAATGATCGTTCAGTTGTATTCTGAATATTCATCATAGTGAAATTCGGTAATACTGAATGTAATGCCATCAACTGACAGTGCAATAGTAGAAGTACATGTTTCTATGTTACGCCTGCACGTAAACATGTCAACTTAACATTCTTGAACTATTACGAGTTTACGTAGTCGGAAAACGAGAGCGAGAATCGAGGATCCGTCGACACGACATGCAACTCAAATCCGATTATCACAACCCCCATATTCAGTGAAAATAAGAAGACATGATGTGAAGTAAAACGTGTATTCTACAAGCATCCAGAAAGTACGAGGTGCGAATCCAGAAGAGAATCAGGATCTCGGACTAGG